TCACCATTGTTAAATTTTCTCCATCATCGATTTGTAAGAAATTTTTGGCAACTCCAATTGTTGGAATGTTGGCAAGAACGCCTAGGTGAGATGCCAAACCAAACCCCCTTGGATGTAGTGTACCATTACCATCAACGATTATGACTTGTGGATATATAGATGAATTTGATTTTTCAAGTGTTTTAAGCAATTCTAGAATAGATTCAACTTCTCGAAATGCCAAAAATCCAGCAATATACGGAAGTTTTAATTTTACGCTTAAAAAGTTTTCATAAATTACCTAATTATTTAATATATGTGTACATAATTTATTGATGCTATAAATAAATACACGTATATACGTATGTATATTATACATACATTTAAACTTGGATATTCTAATATCACAAAAAGAAGCATGGGCAAGGTAATTAAATAGTCAGTTTTCGTTCCTTCTCATCAATTCTTATTTTTTTCTAATATATTAATAAATTTTTGTTGATTGAAAAAAAAGAGAACAAACGGAATTAAAATTAAAATTAATAGAAAAAGATGAATTAAGTTTTAAAAAAGTAACCAATAAACGAAAAAATAATGGTGATGGTGATGGCGAGGATGATGATGAAATGAATGCTAAAAAAACGAAAAATTTGACAGATAAGATGCCTGCTGATGTAATTGAGGATTCAAATGTGCTAGGGCACTGGAAATATTACTGAATGTGAACATTTCATCAATTGAATAAGCCATGTGCATCTCAAAAATGTAGATATTGAGAAGATTGATGGTTACGCTTTAACAATAAGGCTTTGATTGCTGAAGCACTCATACATGTCTCATCCAATCTTTAACTCAATGTTATAAGCATCTTGGATTTCTCGGAGATAGTATTTTAGAACTTTTGATAGTAAAATATTTATATAAGAACTATCCAGATGCTTCCCCGGGAATAATTACAAACCTAAAACAAACATCAATTAATAATCATATCATTGGAGCCGTTTGGACTTCAAAAACACACACAATTCATTCATCACCAAAGTTAGCACGTGACATTACAAATTTTGTGTCAATAATAAGAGAAAAAAAGGAGGATCACAAGAGGTACTGGAGTGATCTAAAACTAAAAGCCCCCAAAGTTATGCATGATGTGATAAAAGTATGCTTTGGGGGCTGTTTGTTGACTCAAAATTGGTTTCTTCAAAGAGTTTTTAATTTGATCTGGTATATCTAAATTATCAATTATTAATCCAGTTCTCCTTGAGACATTAGATTTTCGTTCAATTATAAAAATTATATATAAAAAAATAAAAAAATCCTAGTTTTCATATTTCAACAATCAAGTCGTGATAAAGAAAAGGCGAAGAAAAACTTTGATAATTATGAATTGAGTATGATGATTACGATTATGAGAATACAAGTAGATCAATTCAATATCCAACTTATTCATACCCTTGCATCACCATATTCATAACCAAGAAGAATATTTTATTAATGATGGACAATTTCAAGAAAGATAAAACGACGGAAGAGAAATTATTGAAATTTTAAATTCAAATTACTACACAAGCGAAATTTATAATAATACTGCAGAAGGAGAGGAAAAGAAATCACTAAGATCAATGCTAATTCTAATGCAAGTAACTATAGTTATAATTATAAGGATGCTGAAGGATTTTTAGAACCTGAAGACATTTAAAATAAACAAGGTATACAGATGATGTTTATGGAATATCTAGATTTCTAAAAAAACTAATCAAAGAAGCAAGAGATGAAGTACTAAATGTTGATAATAGTGATCAAGATAATGGTAAAGATCAAAGCAATTCACATCCAAAAACTGCACTGGAAAGATTAAAAATGGTCAGAGCTCGCTTATTAATAGTATGTTTTTATGGAGGTTACACGCACATATATATACGCATGTGTAATTTATAATTTTTGATCTACATATTTAATTGTAAACTTGATTGGATAAAATTGATAAAATTGATAAAATTGATAAAATTAAACATTCAAACATGGTAAATTTATTATTTAAAATGTTATTTGAAATTGAAATTAAATTTATTGAATTCTGATAATAATTATAATGATGTTTTCTTCTCATAAAGGATGGTCGTTTTAATCATGCACACATTAGAGATACTAGTCATTTAGATTTCACTGATAAATGGGGTTATGAAAAATTACCTGATGATGGTAATATATTCAATAATCTATAATAATCATGATTGTATACAAAATTATGATAATTTATTATTATTATTATCATCTTCATTATTATTATTAAATGTATAATAGCAATTGCAGTTCCACTTAAACATCAACCACCTTCAAATGATGATAATGATGATTGTAAGTAAATTGATTTTTATAAAAAAAATTTTTTTTAAAAAAAAAATAATAAATAAAAAATAAATTTTTTTTAAAAAATAAATAAAATCAAGTTAATTTAATACCAGAACAATTAAAAGAAGGCCTAACTAAATGGAAGGATTTGTCTTTAGATTTCTTTAATAATAACAATTCACAAAGACAAATACAAATACCACCAGCATTACCACCTCCATTATTACCCATTTCCAATAGTAATAATAATAATAGTAGTAGTAGTAATTTTAATATTAACAATGATGATGATATCATTCCAAATCCAAATCCACAACATTAAACTCGATAATCAGAAGAAGACAATGTTAGATGATTGTGATAAAAAATGATGCTGCTTCGTAAGGTATGAATAGTTTTTTGTTTAAAGTTATCAATTTGATCAACCATTGCTTTATAAGCTGATTCAACTTCTGCCTTCTCTCTATCCTAAGCTTAAATCAATTCTCTAATCTTTTAATTAATTAATTATATTTCTTTCTTTCTTCTAATAATAATATGAATAGTAAACTTGCATTATTCTGCATCTCTTGATAGAATGATCTTCCTCGATTTCTTTACGTCTTTCATATAATTCCTCATATTTTTTTCAAAATAATCAAAAATAAATGATAATAAATATTGCATATTTCTAGATCACGAACATATTGATGTCTTCACAAGTACTTTATTTTTTTTTATCATTGATCATACAAAAGGTTAATATCTTCATCTAAAAATGTTATACATGCAGTCATTTAGAAGGTGTTAAAAATAATAATTGATAAATTGTACTTCAATTATACATATCTATCTTAATCAGAAAATCATCATGATTCTTTCATATAGTGCTTCGTTATCCTAAATAAACTATAATAATAATAAATAGTGAATTTATAACAAGCACATTAATATTAATAATAAACTTGTTAATTCCAAATCTTTTCCCATTGCATATTCCAACACAATTCTTAAATCATCACTTTTGGCTCTATATTCTCGTGTAATTGATTTCAGTTGATCAATACAAGAATGTCGTTTTGTAACCAATTTCTCAACTTCATCTCTATTTGGATTACCTTTGTTACTTGTCAGAGCCAATAATAATATAAATGATGATGATAAATTTTTAAATGCATCATAATGGCTATTATTGTTATTTATTAAATAATTAATGTTAATAATACAATTAATAATAATAATATACAATGACAACAACAAATACAAATATTTACCTATCAACAAGTGCTATATGATACCAAGCAAAAGTAAAAACAGAACCAGCTGCAAATATTAAACCTAAAAGAGTGTAAAAGAAAAAAAACCAGATACAAAAGAATAGAGCAGAATATGATAATATCAACCATGCCAATCCCAAAATTATTTTATTCTGAGCTCTTGACTCCTCA